GCTTTTTTTTTTAAAGCTGCATAAGATATTATTCTCCCTCTTAAATAGGCTTTCAGTGCATCCCACCAGGTACTTAGAGATGTGTCGCCCATTTTATTTGATTCCTTAAAAAATTGAATTTCTTCTCTAATCAGTTTAGTGAATGATTCGTCCCTAAGTAATGATACATTCAGCCGCCACCTGCGGCTTTTCTGAGTTTGTGAGAATATTTTAACGCAGAGAAAAACCAGTGCATGGTCTGAGATTGCAATATTTCCTATGCTTGAGTCAACTGAGTTGTTTACTATTGTTTCTGATATTAAAAAATAATCTATCCTTGTATAAACATTATGCACGGGTGAAAAAAAGGAATAATCTCTGCTATCGGGGTGCATCAGTCTCCAGATATCCCGAAGGCCATTATCTGCACATAACTTCCTGATGGCCAATGCTGACTGGCTTTCTGTATTAGTGCGTGGTTGCGACCGGTCTAAATCTCTGTCCCAGATTTCTTTAAAGTCTCCAGCCATGATTATTTGAGCACCATCTGAATCCAGAAGAATTTGTGACAGATTATGAAAGAAATCTGGTCTGTCTGAATTAGGCACATATATATTACAAAGAATTACTGGCGTGTCCAATAATTGTCCTTTGACAACAACATATCTACCATCTTGGTCCCGCAATACCTCAGTTTCAGTAAAATTAACGGCCTTGTGAATAATGATAGACACCCCTCTACTATTGCTTGTTCCAGTGCTTGAAAAACTTTTCCTATCCAAGAACCTTTAAGTTTAATTGACTCCGAATTGGTTAAATGAGTCTCCTGAACATAAGCTATATCAACTTTAGAGGACTTTAAATATGTCAAAATCTTTTTTCTCTTAACAACATTATTCAAACCCTTTACATTCCAGCTGGCCAACTTCAAGTCAGTTATACTTTCCATCAAGTTAGATAAAATGTAACATGTATATTAAATCTGCATACAAGGATAAAGATTAAGGCTGGTCAGTTGTGGCATAAGATAAACAATACAATAGAATATAAAAAGATAACACACAAAAACAGAACTTGAACGCACCCCTTAAAGCAAAAATGGGGTGAAACAAAAAAAAAGAAGCAAGGCATGGCCATGCTGAAAA